GGATGGGATAAATGCAGAGCACTAATTCCTAGTATGGGTCACCATACTTGGCCACATGTCACGTCACATGTATACTGTATTCTATTAAAGGGATAGTTCACCCAAAAATGAAAATTCTGTCATTAATTACTGAATGTGAAGGAACACAATTTAAGACATTCTTGATGGAATCTGAGAGCTGTCTGACCCTGCATAGACAGCAACTCAACTGAAATGTTCCCAGACAGAAATGTAGCAAGGAGATCTGTGAAATAATCCATGTGACATCAGGGGTTCAACCGCAATTATACGAAGCTACGAGAATACTAAAAAAATGTAAAATTCAACTTTATTCAACAATTCGTCTCCTCCGCATCACACTGGTGCCATTTTGGAGAATATCCGCTGGACGTAAACAACGTATGCTATTCTGTGTCAGCTGCGTCACACCGGATCGGTTTCCTACGTTGTTGTGATTTGATCTGAACAGAAACGGCGTATCCGAGTGACGCAACTGACACAGAATAGCATACGCTGTTTACGTCCAGCGGATATTCTCCAAAATGGCACCAGGGGGATGCGGAGGAGATGAATTGTTGAATAAAATTGTTATTTTTTGTTATTTTGCGCACAGAAAGTATTCTCGTAGCTTCGTATAATTGCGGTTGTACCCCTGATGTCACATGGATTATTTTACAGATCTCCTTGCTACATTTCTGGACTTGGGAACATTTCAGTTGCGTTGCTGTTTATGCAGGGTCAGACAGCTCTCAGATTCCATGAAGAATATCTTAATTTGTGTTCCGAAGATGAACAAAGGTCTTACAGGTTTGGAACGACATGAAGAGGAGTAATTAATGACAGAATTTTCATTTTTGAGTGAACTATCCCTTTAAAGTTAAAAGGATAAAAACAACTCTGAATGCTTCATTTCCATAACATCTTAGCCTTTATATAATTAGGTAGATTTTTAGGTTTTCTGATATAAAATTATGTGATTATGTGAGTGGTTTAATAACGATGCTGGCCTTAGCAAGCAGTTAATTAATTGGGCACATTTTGAGATTAAACACTTCTCCTGTCCTGATGTACGGTCTTTATTTCCCCTGGAGATCCAGCGTGACTGTTGCGGGTTATCGGATTTTATCTTGTCTTATCTGTTTCCAGGAAATGCAAGTGGAAGAGCTTAGCGCAGTAAGACAGACCCTGCAAGCTGACCTAGAGACATCAATCCGGCGAATCGTTGATCTACAAGCCACGCTGGAGGAGGTGGAGTCCAGCGATGAAAGTGATACAGAAAGGTATCACTAGTGACGTGCGCCTGACCTTTTCCATTTCCTTTTTTGTTTCTGTTCCAGTGTCTCGCATAGCAAGGGGAAATTGTCTGCAAACCAGTTTGTATACTATACAAACTAAATAGTATTCAAGATTGTGATTGGTTCATTCCAAATAATTTTGAAGTATCATCATACATTTTTCTTTTGCTTTGTTTTGTTTTGTTTTGTTTTGTTTTGTTTTCTTTTGTTTTGGGTGGGGGTTGCGTTTTGTTTTTCGTTTTGTTTTTTTCAGGAACATTTTATTCCATTAAGGTTGCTTTATTTTATTTTCATCTTGTTTTTTTATCAAGATTGTGATTGGTTCGTTCCAAATAATTTTGAAGTATCATCATACATTTTTCTTTTGCTTTGTTTTGTTTTCTTTTGTTTTGGGTGGGGGTTGCGTTTTGTTTTTCGTTTTGTTTTTTTCAGGAACATTTTATTCCATTAAGGTTGCTTTATTTTATTTTCATCTTGTTTTTTTATTCTATTCTATTTTATTTTAGTAGATTTAATTCAGGGTTATTCAGGGTTTTTTGTTTTCATTTTGTTTTTCAGCTAATCTAACTTTACAATTGATCATTTTGTTGGAATTGCTTTATTTTATTTTATCTTGTTTTTTTATTTTATTTAGGGGTTTTTGTTTGTTTTTTGTTTTTGACATTTTTTGTTTTAGGTTTGCTTATTTTATTATGCATTTAATTATTTAATGTTATTTATTTTTCAGCAAACTCAACTCCATATGTACAGTATATACAGTATGTATATGCACAGTTTTTAGAAGTAACAGTTTTTATTGACTTCTTGATGTTCTAAAAATAACATCAAGATGTAAAACTTCAAAACCAAAGGGAAGAAAACAGTAGATATATATTGTTTTCTTCCCTTTGGGTTTGAAGTTTTACTTCTTGCTGTTACTTTGTAATTGCTTTCATTCTTTTTCAGTTGAGCTGAAATGTGAAGAGATTTTCCTAACTGTGCAAAATCAAGGCTACACTTTGCTACTATAAGCGCTTCAATAATGCCTTCCTCCATCGACACCCATAGTAAAATGCAGTCCGATGTATCAGAGTTCAAGACTTTGATCTTCTCCACCAGACTGCTTAGACTTCACTGAAAATTCGATATGCTTGCTTTGCTCGTACCTCCAACCACTTTAGTTATCCGCTCCACTCCTGTGTGTCTCTGACTGTGTCTCCTTCTTCACACAGTGTGCAGACGGCTGTGGAGTCCTTCTCTAGAAGGAAAGATCTGTAAGCACTCCATCCCCCATCCTGTTGTTGTTCTCTCCCATGTATCCGTGTTCATTTACTATGTTCTGCATTTGGGAATGAGCAATCGGAGGAATGCAGGCTTCAAAGTAGGCCAGTGGCTGCATATTGGACTGGACGATGTAGAAACATTTTTTAGGCTTTCATAGATATCAAATTTTTAGTCAAACATTCTAATTGTT